AAAAAAAAAAAAACAGAGTTCTTGAATATAAATCCCCACAGAGAGAAAGAGAGAGAGAGAGAGAGAGAGAGAGAGAACTTGTTTTTGGGATGAAGAAAAAATGGAGCTTTGATTTTGCAAATAATGTCTTATCTATTATGTAGGGGAGAGATGTATATACCCACAGAGATATACACAGACATGAGAGCTTTTATTTTATTTTTTTATTTTTTTTCTCTCTCTACTCTTATCGTTGGGGAAGAGGAAAATAATAAACTATTACGACATTACTCGAAGAGATAAGTGATATATAAAGACAGGCGATGTTGATAAGTGAGTTCAGTTATCACGTTAGAGGACTGTGATAAGTATATCGTCTTATCGTTTGGTGATATTAGGTTTTTATCAAATGTACAGTCCACGTGGGTCCCACGGAGCCGGCTTACTTGCTTGACCGATATAAATCGACTCGCTATCTTCTCATCAGCTCACAAGCGGGTCTTCGGCTTGCTTTCCGCTGGCAGCCTGGCACGTTTTTATCATTATTATTATTATTATTATTATTATTATTATTATTATTATTATATTATTATTATTGTTAAATAGCGCATATATTACACACATAAAAATTTTTTGGTATGTTTTTCAACGATGAGTTTGTCGGCCGCATATATAAACTAGGGTTTGGGGGGAAGCAGGGCCCACTTTAGATTACATCTACAAAATGGACGGCTGGGATGGAGCTAATGACATGGCTTAATTTTGGCTCATATTTATTTTCAATTATTTAATAACACAATGAATATATATATATATATGCTAATTTGGTCAAAAATCTAAATTAAAAAAACTGAATTAAAATTTTTAGAACATGACTGGTCAAAATTTAAATTAAAAATCAAATACTGCCTCATATTCTTTTTAAATGTTATTTCGGCATTATCAACTATTAACAAAATAAATGTCGTTTTGGATATTTTGTACATATTTTTCTATTATTATCTTCATCTAGCTAATAAATACACTACGTCTTTTCATATTAACTCTTCATCTTTTCTTAAAATATTCATCTCTACTCTTATTAATGAGAGTTATTATTGGCAAACAAAAATATTCTTAATAATTATGCAACTTCTCAAAACGACACTTATTATGAATAAGAGAGAGTATTATTATATATTTCACAATAAAAATTACTATTCTGTCGCAATTTATCTAACAATCACGTAACATTATATTAATTTTATATCACAACAATTTTAATAATTACATACACAATCTAAATTCTATCTTTTTATATAAAATAATTTTTTTTTAATTCCATTTTTCGGGTTATGCATTTTTCCTTAAAAAAAAAAAAGAATTGAGTTTTTCTGCAGGTCAAGTACTTTTTCTCGGACTTGTAGTTGTACATCCCTTCACTATCGGACAATTTATAACACAAAATTACGAGGAGCTGCCACTGGCATCTCCTTTCAAATTATCGCGATACGAGATATTGAGAAAAGAATTTTTTACTCGGAATCTCCCTTGCTGAGAAATTGGATTGTCGATATTTGAATAGCACACACTTTTTTGGAACCTGATTGCGAGACTTTTTTTTTTTAAGTTTATTTAAT